CATCCTCTCTTTCTTTCTCCCATAAATTACAATATACAGATTGAAATCTAAATGGCTGCCTTCCAGCATCACTTATTCAGTTTTAGCAGGCCTGGCTGTTTTCTAATGAATGCTTCTCCTTCTAACAGAAAAGAACTAAATACTGTGAGAACACACCTATGAAAAGGACATGGATGGAAGCCTGCACTTGTCTGTCATGTGATCCAACATGTTTGAAAACAGTGTCCTGATGGTCTAGCCAGTTTGGACAGACCCTGTGAAGCACCAACATCTATATTTGCAAGCTTGCTGGGCTTTGGACGCACTTGTGATACTGGTTGCACAGTTGTTTCTTCTTCCACTCATTCATTATCATACTTCTGCTCTGAGTTCTGACACAGACTGCCTCTTTTCCTCTTTGTCTCACTCTAGGACTTCATTTTCCTCAATCTTGCAACATTGCAAATCAGAAAACAGGTATCCCAGCCACCTCCTCCACTCCTCTGTGCTGCTGAGAGACCAACCTATATAGTAGCAGTATGTCCTCACCTTAGCTCATGCCTTCTCTGCAGACCCTACCATGCAGGAGCTGATGATGCTTTGTGCTCATATCTGTAACAGGAAAAGGTTTAGATTCTCAGCAGCTATTTCAAGTAACACATGCTAATGACCAGCTGTTCAATGGTACTGACTATTCCCTGAACCTACAAAGGGCCCCAAGAATGTGTGTTAGTACAGGATGAATAATTTGAGGTCACTTTAATTCTAGAGAAGTTCTGAACATGGCAGGTGCCTACACACTGAAGACATTACCTTACAAGAGCATGAAATCCAGACATGCACCTGCAGGGATGGTCTCACTGGTCAGGCACAGGAGGCTGGTGAGCTTGCCTGGGGCAAGACACCAGCCCCAGGACACTGCTCCTAGTCAGTCTTACCCTGATCTTTAGATTGGCTTCAGATGTGAAGGATGAATTTTACTTTTAGAAGTGTTATCATTAATTGTGACGACTCTACGTATTCATAATAATCACACGGCTTTATAGTACTTCATTAAACGTTAGCTCTTTCATTGTCCTGCAGCTCCACAACCCAGTTACATCTCACATAGCAATGCACGTCTTAATACCCAATTTAGGTTGTCTTCCCTTCCAATTTTCTTGAAGGTCTTCATGTTCTCATATTAAGGAGCTGGTGTCCCAAAAGCCTAGCAGGAAATTTGGTGGGAAGAATAGTCTTCATCCAAGCATTTCTATTGAATACTGAGCTAAGTCCAAGCCACCAGCCCGCAGGTAAGAGTCTACAATCTGTTCTCTCTGATCCTCCATAGCCCACCAAATCTATCACTACTGACTTTTCAAATCTCCATCTTTTCATCATCTTTCCCCAAAAAAGCGAAAGAGAAAGGCAGACTGAAAATGATAGGTACGAAAAGATGTGCACACACTCTAACTGACAATATAACAATCAAACCTTGAAACACATGGCTTTCCAAATTATCTCAGTTTCATTTATTTTTCTATTTATTTTCAGCACAGCTGACAGCAGCACTTCTGAGATCCTAAACTTCACAGTACTGCTAACTCCTTGTGACGTTGGCTAACAGTTTATCCCCTGATGCGAAGGGACTTTTCACCCATGTCTTTTTCTGGTAATCCCCATGACTTGCTTTCAGCTTGGAACCATACCAAATACTGTGAAACATTTGTGAGAGAGGAGCTCATCTTAGTTTCTTTCTCTTGCAGAACATTGTCAAAGATTCAGGAAAGCAGACAAAATTCTACAAACACTAAGCATTAACCAAATTAGAAGAAAATCCTCTAGCATTTTTCTTCCTCACTTTCTCCCCAGAGCTTTGCCACTCAGTCCGGGATCTCAGAATTTGCTGACACAATGGTGCAGGATGTTCAGTCATTGAAACCTTTGAAAATGCCAAGCAAGTCCCTGAAAGGAAATCCCATTGCCAAGAGCTGAGTTCAGTCCCTCATCTTCAATGATGTTTAGCTCTCATTTTCAATGAAAGCAGATGCCTTTTTCAACTGTCAGACCTGAGCAGAGTTTGCTCTTCATGCCCTCAAAACACAAGCCCAGATGCTGCGATCCCCTCGTCATCAGATCCACTCTTTTGCCTGCATCCCTGGTTACTCTTGACTAACGTGCAAGGATCAGAACAGTTTCACAATAATGAATTTTCCTCCTTCCTACGGTCCTCAGCACATATTTAAATGAAAGAATCAGCTTATCCGTAAGAGCCACAAGCCAACATGAGGAGCTTAAGTTATAAGCCTGTAGTATCATGCATGTTGGGCAATCATAAATTTAAAGCAAAAATCCCTATAAATTTTATTTTGCATTAGATATTAAATAAAACATACTCACAAAGCAAGATTACTAAGAAACCTTTCTAGCTGTTGTTTTGGTTGGGATTTTTTTATATCAAAACAGGATTAAAACATATTTTGGAGACTCACTGTTATTTTATCTGAGTAAATAAGCTTAGAGCGCATAACAGTCAATTTATAATGAAGGCTTTTGTTCTTGTTACTGTGATGCAGCCCTGCAAATTTGCCCACAGCTGCAGCAAATTCAGATGGTTTTGACAGGTAAATAAAATACTGTTTAGATCGGTCATTGTTATTAATCTGCAGAGTAAAGAAATAGCAATTAGATTTTGTTTCCAAGCATATAAATTTTCATTATGATCTTGGCAGGGGTGGTATAGAATAATGCACATCTATGACTCTTACAGTTGTGAGGGTCCAAAATATGAAGAGTCTTTGGTCAGCTGTTGAGCTGTAAAAAAAAATGGGAAATAAAGGCTAAACCAGTAACAAACACCACACCCACAAGGAATGTGGGATTTATCCCTGTTGGAGTTTTATTGACATAAGCGCCAAATAAACCAAACTGCAGGTCTTGACATCAGCTGCACCAATTCAGTGCTCAGTTTTTCTGAACTGTACTTCCAGGAAGCTGTGTCAGGATCTGGCTGTGCTTTTCAACCCCACAGTTTGGGCCTCCATAATGACTTGTGCTTCCCAGCTGCTGCAGGGGCAAAAGGTTTCAAATACTCTTCAAGCAATGCTGGTGAACAAAAAATTATCTGTGGAATAAGGTGCTGCTCAAGGAGGAGTAGCAGAATACAGCTGCAAATATCTTATTGTATTGGTCAGAAACTGAGACTTAAAAAAGATAAATCCTGGTGAAAGTCTTATGAGATGCCAGTCACATCTCAGCTCCTCACTCAGGTAGGCTGGCAGATGGTCAGCAAATAGACTCACTTTTACAATGCAACCTACACTGGTTTTCAATGTGAAAATTAACATCCAGTTATTTTCAAGCATTAATGTTCTCCAAGGAAGCAAGCTACCTTTTAATTGTGCTTAGGCTCTATTTGCTCTGACACGTAAGCCAATCTCGCAGGTGCCTATGTCTTGTGTACACAGGCAGAATGGCAAGCCAGGGAAGAGTACTAGAAATGTGGAATAATGCAAATTCCCAGGAAGTGAATTGCATGACTTCCAACTTTTAGAAGAGATGGGGACAAGACAAGCAAGAGAAGAAGGTGTACAGTATCTCCAAAAAAAGGATTCTTTTCTCCACTCCCATCTGAAAGCCTATGGTGAAAACAGTGTTTCACAGCTATCTGCCAGCTGCATAAACCATTAAAGAAGCTACAGTCCATTGAGCACTGAGCTGTGACTTATGGAACCCTTGGTATGACATATCCAGCAGGGCTGTGGATATTGGGACTGGCTGGTGGCAGACCCTGCTGCTCCCAAGGAAGAATGGGAGCCCATTCCCCACTTTTCAGCACCCATCACCACCATCCTCAAACCAACATAAGGGAAGGCCCAATCACTACATTACAGATGTAGGCAACTTTGGGAAAGGCAAGATGTGTGCCAGAGCATGGCCACTTTCAAATAAGAACTGGTTTTCTCCTTAGCAGAGCACACAGGTCCATGAAGGGGAAAGAACACCTGGGGTAAATCCCATTTTGTGTAAGATTTCAACGTATCACCTTACACGCCAGAATCTGTGCCCAAAATGGAAATAGTCGAGTTGAACTTTGCAACACTTTTTCATACAAGGATCCCCTATTAAAGATAGGTAATGGAATTATCCTGAGTAATAATAGTTATCTGTACATATGGGCTTGATCCCACAAGTAGAGGTCTGCAGCCTTCATTGCACCTGCATGTGTCATGTTAGGTACAAATGTTGCTGGGTACATCACTGTAAGGAAGTTGCCAGCCTGAAAATACACGAGATGCTTTTAATTGTCATTAAATATGGAGTATAATGCTCCAGGGTGGCATCTTACATTCTAGCATGGTTGCATGTGTTTCATTCTCCTGTGTGGTGGAGGGAAACTTCAGTGGCCTAACCTCAGTCTGTATCATGGAGCATCTCAAGGCTGCAGCTTCAGCAGGTACACTCGTAGCCAGCCATGCTTCTCCTGCAGATAGTGCAACTGGGAGCACAGAAGCAGTGGAGCACCTGCACAGTTCCTGTCAGCTATCCCCTGGGAAACACTGAAGGGGGATTGTCTCGTGCCACGTGTTTTGTACAGACTGAAGTTGTATTTTTAAAAGCAAAGAGCACATTAAACTCCTCCTTTGCATCACTTTCGGAATCATCAGAACTGGTTGCCCACAAAGCACCAAACAGCCCCCCTTGCTGAGATGTGCCCCGCTCCATGAAGGTGCCAGCATGTCCCTCCTCCCATGCCACAGCTGTCCGGCTCTCAGGCCGGGCATGAGCGCCCGGGGCAAGGCTGCCGGGAAGCAGAAAAGCACGGAGCCCGCCTCCACCCCACACCTCCGTGGGAAACACCACCGAGGTGCGAAATCTGGAGCCCGGGGCCTGGGCAGAAAGCAGAGCCTCTGTGGGTTTGGGCTCCTGTTCCGGGCAACAGGGAGAGCCCCTCAAGCAGCAGGCCCCGGCTCCGTCGGACCGGAGCATCGCTGCCACCGTCGCGGCCCCCACCCCAGCGCCCACCGCCCGCGGCCGCTCACCTGCTCGGGCCCCTGGAAGCAGATCCTGCAGAGCGGGGTGCGGATGCCGCTGTCGACGCTGCTGCCCAGCGAGTAGCGGTCCTCGGCCTTGCCCTTGCCGAAGTCATCCGAGGAGGTGCTGCTGGGCAGGGAGGCGGGCGGCTCCCCGGCGGGGCTGCCCCACTCCTCGGCGGCCGGGCTGCCCGCGCCGCCGCCGCCGCCGCCCGCCGCCCGCCAGCCGGGCCCGCGCCCCCCGGGCGGAGCGGCCCCCGCCGCCGCCTCTGCGCCGCCGGGCATGGGGAGCGGCGGCGGCGGGGAGGGCGGCGGCGGCGCGGGGGGTCTCCGCAGCAGGAAGACCTTCAGGTCATTGAAGAGCATGCGGCAGCGGCACTTGAGGAGGCCTTGGTTTCGCAACATCTGTCTCGGACGGAGGAGCCCGCAGCAGCAGTAGCAGAAAATGCCCGCGCCGGGTGGAATTAACATGTGCCTTTCCTTGGCAGGCGGGCACGGGGGAAAGAAAAGGGCAGGAGCCGGGCGCCCCGCGGCCGGGGGGGCTCCGCGGCGGCCGCAGTGCCGGGAGGGCTGCGCTGGCCGCCGGGGAACGCACAAAAGCAGAGCCGGAGGACGAGGGGCGAAGTCCCCGGCAGCCCGCTGCAACCCGGGGGGGACGGCAATTGAAAAAAAAAAAATCCACGCCAGGAAAAAAACAGACTCTGTGCTGCCGAGGGATCCTTTCCCCCCCTCCACAAGTTTGCTTAGAAATCAGCGGGAGGAGGAAATAAATCTCCCACGCCCGAGGGTCCAGGGGCGCAGGCGGCGGTCTCGGGAGAAAGCCCCCGATCTGCTCTCGCAACTCCTAAGCCTGTAAAAAAGAAGGGTCCACGTCTCCAGTGGGTGTGGGGAGGAGAGAGAATATGGTTCTCTCGACAGTATTTGGCATCTCAAGTAATTTTCCTTTTTCTTCTATTTTATAATAATTTTTTCTTCAAATAAAAAATAAAATCCGATCACACGAATCCCGGTGTGCATCCAGACAAAATAGCAGCTGGTCTAGCTATCAAAATGCAAAATTGGTAGCCGTTGTTATTATCAAAATTGCCTCTTTGACAAAAAAGACCTTCACATTGTTTGTGGGAAAACACCCTACGTTTTCAACACTGTGCTCCCAGGTGGCTTCAGATTTTACCGTCGCCTTTAAAAGATTTCATTGTAAATATTAGAAGTCCGGAAAGAAATAATTAGCATTCAATGAGCTTAATCCCAGATGTACTGAGACAAATATATTTTTATATATATAATATATATATCATATATATTTTATATATATTTATATATTCTGACCTTCTCTATTCCAGCAGCTGTCTGGACCACACAAAAAAAAAAAAAAAAAAAAAAAAAAAAAAAAAAAAAAAAAAAAAAAAAAAAAAAAAAAAAAAAAAATCAGGTCGAAATTGATGAGGGAAGGCGGCTGTATTATTCCCTAAGCTGTTACCATCCTGGACCAGAAACCCACGTCGAAATCGGATCTATTCTTCGCATGTAATTGACCGGGGAAACGTGGATCTTACATGGTCACGTTTCCTCCTTTCACAAAACAGGAACGTCATCAAACGCATTGGCAGCTTGTACAGACCATTGTGGATGGCGAGGTGGTCAGGGCTCTATCAGCAATTGCAGGGACCTCCTTTTGATGCATTGGACGAGGCTCCTTCTTTCTCTCCTCCACCGTCCCCACCTTCATTTTCCTCCCCTTCTGTCCTCCTCCTGCTCTCACTGTTGCTCTCTCTCACAGGCATTGACATTCAACCATCGCAAGTCTGTCGCACTCTCGCTGGCAGGGGAAAAAAATCGGAGCAGATAATTCTCTTCTTCCTCCTAAAAGGCTCGGATGGAGCACAATGCGCCAGACACATGGGGCAGCATGGCTTATTTTTCGTGCGGTTCCTACCGCTTTGGCAACATCGAGCTGGTGTGTGCGTGTGTGCCTTCCTCCCTCAGCAGCAGCCTCCTCTCCGCTCTCCCATCCGGCTTGCCGTGATGATGTTGCTGTTGCTATCTCCCTTGGATGCAATGGGGAAGGCAGATTGTTTGCAGTGCGAGCGGGGATTTGCAGGAAGGGAGGGGTGGGACGTGGCCGCGCTCTTCTTCCTCCCCCAGCTTGAGGAAAAAAAAAAAAAAAAAAAGAAGAAAAAAATAAAGGAGAGAAATAATAAGCAAAAAGGCGGGGTGAGAGGGAGAGAATCAAAGCGAGGAATGGAGCCCTTCCCAACCTTTGATGCCCCGAGCTGCCGGCTGCCTGCGAGAGCCCACGCCGGGGAGGAAGGGAGGAGGGGCGGGGAAGGGGCTGGGCGGGCGCTGCGGCTTCAGCACCACGGGGCGCGGACAGCTCCGCCGGGCGGGGCGGGGCGGGGCGGGGAGGCTCCGCCGGCGCTGCGCCCCCGGCCCGCCCGCCGAGCCCGCACCGGCCCCGCACCGGCCCCGCCGAGCCCGCACCGGCCCCGC